TTCCTCAAATTTCAGATAGCTCATTGAAGATTCATAGCACATCCATTAAAATTGCTTTAAAAATAAATGGAAAACTAGGAACTTTCTTAGAGTGAAATAGTGAACGCAGATATAGCAGTAAAATAATATGGCAGTAGACTATCCATTTGTGATTAAGTCAGGACAGCTGAAGTAGTAGTGGTGGTTGGTATTATGGTGGTTTTTCTCACTGTGGTATTTTCAATTAGTCTTGGCTAGAAAAACATATTTTTGTCTGTTTCTGATGTTCTCACTTTTTTATTTGACAAATGCACTGGTAAATTTTAAAAATTAATTAAAACCCAATACGTGATGTCTGTGCACAAATGCGCCTGTATGAATTGTGTAAGTACATGCATATGCACAAATGTATGTGAAAGAAATTAAGTATACACACAAGCAGCATTTATAAGAACTCTGCATAGCTAACATGCCTTCTAAATATCAAGATACCCTTAATGACATTAAAATGTTTTTTTTTTCTGAAACAAACTTCCCTTTATGACTTATAAAACTCACCACTGATAATGACAATGGTCTAACTAATAACATGACTAGTCAGCATATTATCATTTGATAATGCCTATAACTCTGATAAATAAATACTATTTTATTTTATTTTTATACCAACTTTATGAAGGACTTTAATTTGTGTATTTAATCTGTTTAACTAGATACATATTTTTTCTTCCTTAATATCTATTAAATTCTTGAAATCCTTCCAGAATACATGAGCCACAATAGACAGAAAATCAGGATCCTTGATAGGACAGAATAAGTATGCTGTGAATGCTTATCTGGTTACATCAATTGGGTATCAATTAGTTTCAATAAAACTAAAATGTAGAACAAAGTAGAAACATGTTGAATTATGAAGGGTTGACTATAAAAAGAAAAAAAGTTTACAAATTCTCAAAGCAAATTTTTAAAATGACACTACAAAATGATGTATTCAGTACAAACTTGCCAGTCAATACCAAATTGATGTACCTAATTACTCATGCTTTAAATTTAATTTATCACAAATTACTCTCTCAGTTATCTCTACAAATATATGCTTTTTATGTTCCGGAGCTCAGTAAATGACATCACAGTATTTCAGAAAAAGTAGAATCATCTTGTCACCTTCTGTCTCCTTCATTTCACAAATTTAATCCATCACCAAATCTGGAAATATTTACCTACCAGAAACAAAGCAGAACAAAATAAATTCTTGATCTCTTTACTTCATCCCCCCCGCCTCTTTTTTTTCCAGTTTCACAATCAGTTCCCTGGTCCCAGCTCCTGGAATTTTTCTCCTAGACTACTCTAGAAACCTTTTAAATTATCTACTCATATCCAGTAAGGAGCCTATTCCCTCTGCCCTTGCTTAGATAGACAGAGAGAGCTTTGGAGAATACAAATTGAGATGTCAAATTGTCTCTAAGAAACATTTCTTCCAAAGGAAAAGAATAATAATAAAAGGCAAAACAAAGACAAATTCTTTCTCCTGGCTTCCAGTACTCAGTGTGATTTAGCACTTCTCTCAATGCCTACAGGTCATTCCATATCCTGCCCCCCTCCCTTACTGCAGTTTAGCCACCAAGCCTTTCAGCCCATCTCCCCAGCATATGGCTTCCCACCAGTGTCTTTGCACTTGTTTCTTCCTACTTGGAGTTCACTTCTTCTATTATCCCATCTCAATAGATATTTCCTGAGGGAAACTTTTCCTGATAAGCTAGATCTTATTTTTTTTCTCCTATTTATATAAATAGAAGTATCATATAAATAGAAGAATCAAAATTTTATTCTTCTTTGTAGTTTTCTGATTAATGTTGTCTTACCCAGATTGTAAGCACTAGACGTTCAAGATCCTTGTCAACTTGCTAAATATTAAATATCCTTTTAATTATTTTGGTATCATAAACACAGACATAGAGTATTCCTTTCTCTCTCTGTTCCTCTTCTCTGTCTCTGTTTTCTCTGAGTTCTGGGGTGAGGGAAATCACAACCATTCTTCTGGGGTATAAAGGAGAGAATTTATACTGAACAGGAAATGTTGCCACTGGAAAATTACTAAGTTTAGTCTTTTAGGCAATCAATCAATCCCTCTCCCCCACCCCCTCTCTCTCTCTCTCTCTATATATATATATATATATCGACTTACTGGAAATTTATCAGGATGGTTCTCCAAAATCTGTTATGGCTTTTGTTATAAAGTTCCAGAAACTGATTTTACTGACAAAAGTCAAACCTCTGTATTTCAAGAACTAATGGCATAGCAAGTAGTGGTATGAATTTATTTTATGTCTAAATTGATGATATTGAATGTTAAATCTGAATGTTCAAATGTTTAAGTATGAATGTTACATCCAAAGCATTGGTTGTTGCAATACAAGAAACTTCTCTTAAGCAAACTATGAACATTCTTTTGCTTTATTTTTACAGAAAATATTCTAAAGCTATCACCTAGAGAAGAATCCTTATTTACTATTGATATGATCATTTTTTTTCTATTGTATGAGTTTGATTCTGCTGTATTGAAGGGTAACAATTTGTAGTGACAGACTCGTTTTCCAGTGCTCTTGTACTGATAGGTTTACCCTAAACCTTCTCAGCCTTGGCACTATTTTATGGCCTTGTTTCCTGATAGGTGATGGCTCAAGATAATTACCTTTCAGCAAGTATACAAAAATATAATTCAAATTTTTGCCTTAATGCAGAGATAACTACCATAAGATGGATAGTGATGAAAAACTATAGACAATCATGTAAGGTCAATGAATGATAAATACTTTCATTTCAGATAATGAAAAAGACTTATTTCAAGTAGAATTTAGTCTTTATATAGATTTCACATTGGACTGTTGCTAGTATGCTAGTGTGTTACCTTTTTAAGGTAAAA